TTGTCCCCAGTCCCTCTCCAGCTCTCCTGGAGCCCCTCCAGGCACTCTGAGCATTCCCTGGAATTTTCCCTTCTCCAGGGGAACATTCCCAGCTCCCCCAGAGCAAAAGAACTCCAGAATCCTGGAATGGTTTGGGTTGGAAAAGACCTTCAATCCCATCCATTCCCACCCCATCCATGGACAGGGACAATTCCCACCATCCCAGCTGGATCCAACCTGGCCTTGAACATTCCCAGGGATCCAGGAATTCTCTGGGAATTCCTTTCCAGCCAGGAATTCCTTGCCAAGATCCCAGCCCAAGCTCCCCTTTCCCAATGGGAAAGGCCACTTGGGAACAACACAAACCGAGGAGGGGACACGGTGACACCCACCAGGATCTCCCAGCAATTCCCATGGAATTTCAAAGTGCTTTTAAGGGAAAATCCCTCCCAGACCTTCGAGTCCAACCACTCCCCCTGCACTGCCAAGGATGTCCCCAAAAGTCACATCCACAGGGCTGGAATTCCACCAAAGGAATTTTCCCAACATCCGACCCCAACCCGACTGTTTTTTGGTTTTTTTTTTGGAGGGGATTAGATTTTGATTGGGTTCTTTGTAGAAGGAATGCATTTTTTTGGAAGGATTGGGATTTTTTTGGAGGGATTGGGATTTTTTTGGAGGGATTGGTGGGGTTTTTTTTTGGAGGAATTTGGATTTTTTTTGGAGGGATTGGAGTTTTGAGAAATTGGGGTTTTTTTGGAGGGAATGAGATTTTGAGGGATTGGGGTTTTTTGTAGAGGGAATGCATTTTTTTGGAGGGATGTTTTTTTTTGGAGGGATTGGGGTTTCTTTGGAGGGAATGAGCTTTTGATGGACTGGGTTGTTTTTTTTTTTTAATGGAATGAGGTTTTTTTAAAGGGATTGGGTTTTTTGGAGGGAATGAGATTTTGATGGACTGGGATTTTTTTTGAGGGAATGCATTTTTTTTTTGAGGGATTAGAGTTTTGAGGGATTGGGGTTTTTGGGGGGGATTGGGGTTTTTTTGGAGGAAATGAGATTTTGATGGATTGGGGTTTTTGGGAGGGACTGGGGGTTTTTTGGAGGGACTGGGGGTTTTTTGGAGGGACTGGGGGTTTTTTGGGAAGGACTGGGGGTTTTGATGGACTGGGATTTTTGGGAGGGACTGGGGTTTTTTTGGAGGGAATGAGACTTTGATGGACTGGGGTTTTTTTGGAGGGATTGGGGTTTTGACATCTTGGCGTTCGATGGCACAATGAAAGCCATCCCTTCTCATCCTTCCCCTCCTCCCTACCAGCACAAGGCGGTTCCAGCCTCCTCTGGAGAACCACGAGGTCTCTCCCGGTGGGATTTGGCTTTTTTTTCCCCTCGGGATTTCATTCCAGGCGCGGCGCTAGGACCCGGCGCTGGAGCCTGCGCCCTGCTCGGCGGCACCGCGGCACCGCAGCCCCCGCAGCCGCCTCCCTCCTCTCCTCCTTCCCGGGATCATCCCGCCGCATTCCCGGTTCTTTCCGCCTCGGGATCGCCGCTCCGGAGCCGCAGCAAGGTCCCGGACACGCCGAGGATGCAGCGGGAGGTGAGTGAAGGATTCCCGGGAAAAGCTGATTTAGTGGGAGATAAAAGCGCTCGGGACTTTGCTGGGATGCCGGGGCAGAAATCCCTGGATTTCTGAACTCTGCCGAAGCTTCTCTGTGTAATTCCAGGATTTTAAGTTTATTCCCTCGTTCTTTACGGAATTCCCAGCCCTCGTAGGGTTGGGGGATGAGGGCATGGAGCAGGGGGGGAATAGGCGGGTTGGAAGTCATTCCATCATCCATAAATCCCAATCCATCAAAAAAGCCCGATGATTAAAAAATCCTGATCCATCAAAAAAACCCCAATGCATCGAAAAAGCCCCAATGTATCTAAAAAACCCCAATGCATCAAAACCCCAATGATCAAAAAATCCCAATCCATCAAAACCTCAATGATCAAAACCCCCAATCCATCAGAAAAACCCCAATCCATCAGAAAAACCCCAATCCATCAAAATCCCAATGATCAAAACCCCCAATCCATCAGAAAAACCCCAATCCATCAGAAAAACCCCCAATACATCAAAATCCCAATGATCAAAAAAACTCCCGATGCATCAAAACCCCAATGCATCAAAAAAATCCCAATGCATCAAAAAAATCCCAATCCATCAAAAAACCCCAATGATCAAAAAACTCCCGATCCATCAAAACTCCAATGCATCAAAAAAACCCCAATGCATCAAAAAAACCCCAAATCCATCAAAAAATCCCAATCCATCAAAAAATCCCAATCCATCAAAAAATCCCAATCCATCAAAAAATCCCAATCCATCAGAAAAACCTCAATCCATCAGAAAAACCCCCAATCCATCAAAATCCCAATGATCAATAAATTCCAATCCATCAAAAAAAGCCCAATGATCAAAAAAACCCCAATCCATCAAAACCCCAATCCATCAAAAAAACCCCAATCCATCAAAAAAAAACCCAATCCATCAAAAAAAACCCCAATACATCAAAAAAACCCCAATCCATCAAAAAAACCCCAATCCATCAAAAAAAACCCCAATACATAAAAAAAAACCCAAATACATCAAAATCCCAATGATAAAAAATCCCAATCCATCAAAACCCCAATGCATCAAAAAAAACCCAAATCCATAAAAAAAACCCCAATCCATCAAAAACCCCAATCCATCAAAAAAAAACCCCAATACATCAAAAAAAAACCCAAATACATTAAAAAAAACCCCAAATACATCAAAATCCCAATGATCAAAACACTCCTGATCCATCAAAACTCCAATACATCAAAACCTGATTCCCTCCCAAAAACCCCAATCCACCAAAATCTCATTCCCTCCCAAAAACCCAAATCCATCAAAACTCCAATTCCTAAAAAAAAACCAAAAAACAACCCATTCCTTACAAAAAAAAACCCCAATCCATCAAAATCTCATTCCCTCCAAAAAAACCCGAATCCCTCTAAAAAAACCATTCCCTCAAAAAAACCCCATTCCTTCAAAAAAACCCAATTCCCTCCAAAAAAACCCAATCCCACCAAAAAAAAACTATTAGTTAAAAAAAAAAAATTAAAAATTCC